GAACTATGGTTTAGCAAGAAACCTAAGCTGTCGTTTCTTAAAGTTTGAGGTTGCAATGCTTATGTGAAAAAAATTCAACTTGATAAGCTCAAACCTAAATCGGAGAAGTGCGTCTTCATAGGATATCCAAAGGAAACTATTGGATACACCTTCTATCACAGATCCGAAGGCAAGACTTTTGTTGCTAAATTCAGAAACTTTCTAGAGAAGGAGTTTCTCTCGAAAGAAGTGAGTAGGATGAAAGTAGAAAACTTGATAAGGTAATTGTACCTTCTCCCTTATTGAAAAGTAGTTCATCACAGAAATCTGTTCTTGTGACTACTACACCAATTAGTGAGGAAGCTAATGATGATGATCATGTAACTTGAGATCAAGTTACTACCGAATCTCGAGGTAAACCAGAGTGAGATCCACACCAGAGTGGTACGGTAATCCTGTTCTGGAAGTCATGTTACTAGACCATGACGAACTTGCGAACTATGAGGAAGCGATGATGAGCCCAGATTCCGCGAAATGGTTTGAGGCCATGAAATCTGAGATATAATCCATGTATGAGAACAAAGTATGGACTTTGATGGATTTGCCCGATGATCGGCAAGCCATAGAAAATAAATGGATCTTCAAGAGGAAGACGGACGCTGATAGTAGTGTTACTATCTACAAAGCTAGACATGTCGAAAAAGGTTTTTGACAAAGTTCAAGGTGCTGACTACGATGAAATTTTCTCACTCGTAGCGATGCTTAAGTCTGTCCAAATCATGTTAGCAATTGCCGCATTTTTATGAAATCTGGCAAATGGATAAACAAAACTACATTCCTTAATGGATTTAAAGAAGAGTTGTATATGATGCAACCAGAAGGTTTTGTCAATCCTAAAGGTGCTAACAAAATATGCGAGCTCCAGCGATCCATCTATGGACTGGTGCAAGCATCTCGGAGTTGGAATATACGCTTTGATAAGTTGATCAAAGCATATAGTTTTATACAGATTTGCAGTGAAGCCTGTATTTACAAAAAAGTGAGTGGGAGCACTATAGCATTTCTGATAAGTATATGTGTATGACATATTCTTGATCGGAAATAATGTAGAATTATTCTACAAAGCATAAAGGAGTGTTTAAAAGGATTTTTTCAAAGAAAACCTCGGTGAAGCTGCTTACATATTGAGCATCAAGATCTATAGAGATAGATCAAGACACTTGATAAGTTTTTTTCAATAAGTACATACCTTGACAAGATTTTGAAGTAGTTCAAAATGGAACAGTCAAAGAAAGAATTCTTGCCTGTGTTACAAGGTGTGAAATTAAGTAAGGCTCAAAACGCGACCACGGCAGAAAATAGAATGAGAATGAAAGTCATTCCCTATGCCTCAGCCATAGGTTCTATAAAGTATGCCATGTTGTGTACCAGATCTATTGTATACCCTACACTGTGTTAAGCAAGGGAGTACAATAGTGATCTAAGAGTAGATCACTGGACAGCGGTCAAAAATATCCTTAGTGGAATATTTCTCAATTATGGAGGTGACAAAAAAGGTTCGTCGTAAAAAGTTATGTTGATGCAAGTTTTGACACAGATCTGGATGACTCTAAGTCTCGATCTAGATACATATTGAAAGTGGGAGCAATTAGCTAGAGTAGCTCCGTGCAGAGCATTGTAGAAATAGAATTCGCAAAATACTTACGGATTTGTATGTGACAGACCATTGACTAAAATTATCTCACAAGCAAAACATGATCACACCTTAGTACTCTTTGGGTGTTAATCACATAAACGATGTGAACTAGATTACTGACTCTAGTAAACCCTTTGGGTATAGGTCACATGACAATGTAAACTATGGGTGTTAATCACATGGTGATGTGAACTATTAGTGTTGAATCACATGGCGATGTGAACTAGATTATTGACTCTAGTGCAAGTGGAAGACTGAAGGAAATATACCCTAGAGGCAATAATAAAGTTATTGTTTATTTCCTTATATCATGATAAATGTTTATTATTCATGCTAGAATTGTATTAACTGGAAACATAATACATGTGTGAATACATAGACAAACATAGTGTCACTAGTATGCCTCTACTTGACTAGCTCATCAATCGAAGATGGTTATGTTTCCTAACCATGAACAAAAGAGTTGTTATTTGATTAACGGGATCACGTCATTAGAAGAATGATGTGATTGACATGACCCATTCCATTAGCTTAGCACCCGATCGTTTAGTATGTTGCTATTGCTTTCTTCATGACTTATACATGTTCCTATGACTATGAGATTATGCAACTCCCATTTGCCGGAGGAACACTTTGTGTGCTACCAAACATCACAACGTAACTGGGTGATTATAAAGGAGCTCTACAGGTGTCTCCAAAGGTAAATGTTGGGTTGGCGTATTTCGACATTAGGATTTTTCATTCCGATTGTCAGAGAGGTATCTCTGGGCCCTCTCGGTAATGCACATTACATAAGCCTTGCAAGCATTGCAACTAATGAGTTAGTTGCGAGATGATGTATTACGGAACGAGTAAAGAGACTTGCCGGTAACGAGATTGAACTAGGTATTGAGATACCGACGATCAAATCTCGGGCAAGTAACATACCGATGACAAAGGGAACAAAGTATGTTGTTATGCGGTCTGACCGATAAAGATCTTCGTAGAATATGTGGGAGCCAATATGAGCATCTAGGTTCCGCTATTGGTTATTGACCGGAGACGTGTCTCGGTCATGTCTACATTGTTCTCGAACCCGTAGGGTCCGCACGCTTAAGGTTTCGATGACAGTTATATTATGAGTTTATGAGTTTTGATGTATCGAAGGAGTTCGGAGTCCCGGATGAGATCGGGGACATGACGAGGAGTCTCGAAATGGTCGAGACGTAAAGATCGATATATTGTACGACTATATTCGGACATCGTAAAGGTTCCGAGTGATTCGGGTATTTTCGGAGGTACCGGGGAGGTACGGGAATACGAGGAAGAAGCAATGGGCCTTAATGGGCCTTAGTGGAAAGGACCAGGAGGTGGCGCGCGCCCCTCCCAAGCCCAGTCCGAATTGGACAAGGGGTTTGGGGCGCGGCCCCTCTCTCCCTTCCTTCCCCTCTTCCCCCCTTTTCCCCCCTTCTCCTAGTTGGACTAGAAAAGGTGAAAACCTACTCCAACTAGGAGTAGGAATCCTACTCCTCCTTGGCGCGCCCACAAGGGCCGGCTGGCCTCCCCCTTGCTCCTTTATATACGGGGGCAGGGGGCACCCCATAGGCACACAAGTTGATCCACGTGATCATATTCTTAGCCGTGTGCGGTGCCCCCTTCCACCATAATCCTCGATAATATTGTAGCGGTGCTTAGGTGAAGCCCTGCGACGGTAGTATATCAAGATCGTCACCATGCCGTCGTGCTGACGGAACTCTTCCCCGACACTTTGCTGGATCAGAGTCCGGGGATCGTCATCGAGCTGAACGTGTGCTAGAACTCGGAGGTGCCGTAGTTTCGATGCTTGATCGGTCGGGCCGTGAAGACGTACGACTACATCAACCGCGTTGTGCTAACGCTTCCGCTGTCGGTCTACAAGGGTATGTAGATCACACTCTCCCCTCTCGTTGCTATGCATCACCATGATCTTGCGTGTGCGTAGGAAATTTTTTGAAATTACTACGTTCCCCAACATATATATGATCATTGCCTTGGATATCGTCATGATTATTCACTTTTCTATCAATTACCCAACAGTAATTCGTTTACCCACCGTATGCTATTTTCTCGAGAGAAGTCTATAGTGAAAACTACGACCCCCGGGTCTATTTTCTATCATATTAAAACCAAAAATACCTTGTTGCACTTTTTCTTTATTTTTTTATTTCATGTTTTTGTTAGATCTATTTATCAAATCTCATACAATTTAATCCATCTCAATACCGAGGAGGAATTGACAACCCTTCTTACGTGTTGGGTTGTAAGTATTTGTTGTTTGTGTGCAGGTGCTGTTTATATAGTGTTGCTTGGTTCTCCTACTGGATTGACAACCTTGATTTCATAACTGAGGAAAATATTTACCTTTGTTATGTTGCATCATCCTCTCCTCTTCAGGGAAAAAACAATGCAGATACAAGCAATCACTCGCCTGCATGGTGCAGTCCGTCTCGATGATGGCAGGGGCCTGACTCCACTCTAGTGCGAGAGCAGTGCCTTCGCAGCAGGCAACAGCTTCAACTTCAAGTCCGCTTGAGCATGTGAACATGAATCTGCAAGAGGAGAAGATGATGCCGCCATTGTGGACACGGAGGATCATCCCGGCGCCACCATTACCGCCGGCTTCAACAAAAGGGTCGCCGACGTTAAGCTTTACAGCCCGGGGGTGGAGGAGCCCAGGTAGCAGGTGCGGTATCCTGTTTGTTCACATGATATCACATAATCACATGTACATGTTGTATCAACATATTATTTGATCATAAAAATACATTTGTTATGTTTTTGCCTTTATAAAGACTTTTATGGTATGCAAGATATATCAGTGAAAGTAATTTTTTATATGGTGCATCACCCAAACAAGGGAAGCATAATATGGGAGTCTGATTGCAATTGAACGGAGAATGATGGCATGGGACGCCCAAAACACATATTATAAAAAAATGGTTCTCACCGAATTTGCATACTCTATAGTAGACAAATTAAAATTATGCTCATGATCACTCACATTGTTGTCACTCATGTTGATATTTTTTGTGTGTGGGTCTGTGGGTACATTCATGTTGATGTCCACTATTTTGAACTCTCCTTTTTTTGCGGGGGAACTATTGTGAAATTATCTGAATTAGAAGTGCTCATAGTATTCTTAGTTTTCTTAATACTCTTAATTTTCTTTCCCGACGGATCATCCCCAAGATTGGTGTTTTTTTTTCGCAGATTGTTGCCGGCTCTGTTCTTCCTTACCTACTTCCTTCTCCTTCCCCACTCTCTCTTTCTCTCTTGAATTTTGTATCCCAAACACTACTGCTACTGGTTAATCGAGATAGTCGTGAGAGATAAACACCGGAGCTGGCGCGGCCTCCGTCGCTCCGGCACCGGTGAGCACGAGACTGCCCTTCGCCTCCAGGTTCTCCTGCGCGAACGCGTGCTTGGCCGGCACCCCATTGGCCACCGTCGACCCTACCTGCCAGATGTGGTTCACGGCCTCCATGCCCTTGGGCAGCTGCAGCGTGCTGTAGAGCCGCACCTTCCCATCGGCGCCCTCGTCGGCGGCGAGCTCGGTGGCCTCGAACGTGATCGGCGTGGACGCCGCGCTGAGCGGGCGGTACCCGGTGAGATTGTACGTGTTGATGACGTACGCGCCGCTGCTCTTGAAGGCGAGGAGCGTCTGCGCACCCTTCATGCCGTCGCCGGTGGGGTTGATCCCCCAGGCCACCCAGCCGGCGCCGCTCGCGCGGGCGGCTTGGCCGCGAACGCCAGGGACAACGACGAGGCCGCCGCGTCGTACGTCCAGTGCAGCGAGGCGCCGAGGGCCGGGAGGTCCGCGCACGTCGCGTAGCTCCTGCCGGCCGGGAACTCCTCGCTCTCGCAGGCTCCGCCGGCCGCCAGCATTGCCGCCGGTGACGCCACCAGGAACAGGAGGACCAGCTGGAGAATGGGGCGGCGCCGGTGGTGCATCGTCGTCGCGGCTGCCATGTCTTCGGGCGGCGCGACGCCAGCTATCTAGAGGTTTTCAGTTGATGTTTGGAGAGAAGCACACACTCGTGGTTTATATAGGTAGGGAGCTCGAGAACGGGCCGGCCATGGTGGTGGGTGCAATGTATCTTGGAGTAGTTGACCTGCGATTGCACATTCTCAACGATTTCATAAGCATCGGCCTACATCGAAAGTACATGAACCCTTGTAATGTCATGATGTCCATAATGGACGGAAAATAGTAATATTGTTTGGTGTAGTACATTCAGTTTAAGTATTGTTGTGAGTGTAAGGCACGATCGATGGAGGGAACGGAGATGGTAACCTAAGCATATGCGTCATCACATCCCTATGGGGTCAATGATTAATTCGTTTTTTTTTCCTCCTCGCGCCTCCTGGCTACTGTGACCTAGCTGCCGCCGGTCGATCTTCCCCGGCTTTCCGGCGAGGAACGAGACCCTGTCCCTCCGTCTATCACTCTAGCAACAGGAGGGGCCGAGACCCATGGCGGCAGGGTAAGGGATAACGATGGCGAGACGATAGATGTTTTTCGACATGGAATAAGGTATCCGCGCCTCGTCGTTGTTCAAGTGATGCTTCTTCATATCGTTAGGAAGCGTGTAAAGGAGATTGATCTATCTTTTTCTTCTGTAGGTTTGTCTTGATGGCGTTGTCATGCGGAACATACAATGTGGGTGTACGTCTCTGTTCTTCGGCTCCAGTTTCGACCAGCGAAGGTTAGCCAACCTCGTCCTAGTCAGGAGCGTATGAGATTTGTGTTGTGACTATGTCTGGCCGACGTTTCTACTCCGAGGCGGTGATTTGCTACAAAGATCACGGGTGTCCATGTTATATACCTTTTTCTTTGTGAATTGGACTTTTAATTAACAAGGGCTTTACAATCCGGATTACATAAAGTAATAATCTCGTCTGGTGCATGCACAACCAATGCCGTCTGACGTTTTTTGGTCTACATCGATGACTTCTCGACTGATGTTCTATAGCGGCTGTTAGGTTTTAGCAACTTTGCTCTACTAGGAAGGAAGTCTAGAAACGGCAACGAGCTTTGCTCACGGCGCCACCGGTGGAAGGAGGAAGAGGACTTCAACACCCCCAATAATTTAGATGTAATTTGCATTTTATATAGTGTTTTTATAGGGCCGGCGGTACTAAATATACGACTTCTGATATTTTTGCCCCCCAAAAAATCACCTCATATCTAACAAGGATGATGTATATTTTGCGAGAATAATGAGGTGATGTTGCTTACGAAAGTGCACCATGTTCTATATAACCGGAACCAATTTAAAACCTAAATGTTGTTGAACTTGGGTTTTTTATGAGTGGTTTTTCTAGAAACACTCTGTTGTACATTCAATTTTCATGTGTGAGCCTCAAAGAGATACACGTGGCGATTACTGTCCGCTCCATTCACCCCTATGAATGAAAGAGTGAACGGAAAATACTAAATGTTC